AAGAATGGAGGCAATAAAGACTTCCCTTTTGGGGCTGGTGCTGTGAAACAGCGATTAAAGCCATGGCCTGCATTGCTGGCGGCCCATATGGGCACTGGTTCAGGTCCTGGCTGCTCCACTTCCCATCCAGCTCCCTGCTAATGCAGCAGAAGATGGCCCAATTGCCTGGACCCCTACACCTATGTGGAAGACCTGGAAGAAGCTATTGGCTTCTGCCTGGCACAGCTCTGGTCACTGTGGCTATTTGGGGAGTAAATAAGTGGATGGATGATTCATTCTCTCTCCCTCCCTCCCTCTCTCTCTCTCTAACTCTGCCTTTCAAATAAATAAATAATTTCTTTAAAAAAAAGACTTCCCTTTTAACCCATGACCTGTAGAGAACATGAAATCACCACTCCCATCCTTTCAACAAGAAGAATCAGTGAAAAATCCAATAAAATCAGTGACTTCTTGGATCCATGTAGAGGCAACTGCCTCGGAATGTAGAGACAGGTGTGTTCAGAGAGCCAAAAATCTGTTCACCTGGAGCAGAAGCCACTGGAGCTGTGAACCAGTTGTAACATCTAAAGTGGTTGTTCTGAAGAGTTGCCGGAGGCTTATCATAACATGGTGTAGCACTTGATAGGATTTTCTTTTCTTTTTGTGAATATTTGTTTTCATTTGAGGGGAGAAAGACTGAGCTATCTTTCATCTTCTAGTATACTTCCCAAATGCCTGCAATAGTCAGGGATAGGCCAGGCCAAAGCCAGGAGCCTGGAAGTCAATCTGGGTCTTTCAGGTGGATGACAGGGACCCAAGTACTTGAGCTGTCACCTGCTTCCTCCCAGGGTGCACATTAGCAGGAAGCTGGAATTCGAAATGGAGGCCAAACTTGAAGCAAGGCAGTCAGATGTGAGAGTCAGGCATCCTAAGCAGTGGCTTAACTGCTAGCCAAACACCTGCCCCCTTGCTGCTTTTGATACTCCACATTTTATACCATACCTTGGTACTGATCAGTATTGGGCTTTGAATATCCTAAAGGACCTGAATTTTACAGGTCCTGGAGCTTAGGTTCCTATAGGAGGGATTCAGGAAATTATAGAAGCATTCTAAAACAATAAGCCGCAAACAAAAGCCATTATGAAGTATAAGGCCACTCCAGGCTATTCTGTCTTGCAGAGATAATGCCTAATACCCACTAAAAAGTAGGGAAAGGTAAGAATTCACTCCAGTTAGAGTCAACTTCTTGATCATGTGTTAGGCTTCCCCAGCATCAAACCCTATCATATGGTATCTGACAATTTGAATTTTTAGCTCAAAACAAGAAGTTTTAAGTTCAGCCTTAATAATTTGCTAGGTGTGTATAGTGTGTCTTAAAATAGGAACAGAAGATGCTTCACTATTGCCAGGGTTTGAACATGTCCCAGGCAGCTCCCAAATGCTTGCAAATGTTTAAACCCCAAGGTTGTAAGTTCATAGCATTGAAAGGGTGGGAGCTTAATCCAATCATGGTATATAGGAGGTGGGCATGGTGGGAGGCCCCTAAATCACTGGCAGCATGCCCTGGAAGTTCTTTATATGTGTGTGTATATATATATATATATAAACACACACACACACACATATATGTGCGTGTGTGTATATATATGTGTGTATATATATGATATATGATATATATCATATATAATATTATATGTGTATTATATATTATATATGTATTATATATAATATATATTATATATTTATGTGTATATATACACACATATATAAATATTATATAAATATATATTATTATATAAAAATATGTTACTTATTTGAAAGGCAGAGTTACAGAGAGGCAGAGGCAGAGAGAAAGAGGTCTTCTATCTGCTGGTTCACTCCCCAATTGGCTGCAATGGCTGGGCTTGGGCCAAGCAGAAGCCAAGAGCCCAGCACTCCATTCAGGTCTCTCACATGGTGCAGGGTCCCAGGTAGCTGGACCGTCTTCTGCTGCTTTCCCAGATGCATTAACAGGGAGCTGGATTAGATGTGAAGGAGCCAGGACTTGAACAGAGTTGCAGGTAGCAACTTAGCCTGCTGAGCCACAGCGTTGGCTCTGATGAGTTTCTTTCTAACAACTGTTGTTCTAGGGCCCCAGTTAAGAAGTATGCCATGGTGACAGCTCCCTAGAGTCTCTCCTCTGAACTTAGATAATTTCTGGGGCTGTGAAGGTTTTGCATGTTAATATTGTGTTGGTAATAATGTATGGTTCCTTTTAAATGACTTTTGATCATACCAGTAACATGTCACGTAAAATGGATATCATTGTCCAGGCAGAATTGTACAGCAAGGACTAACTTTCATAGGATAGGTAAGGTGGCCAACTCTGCTCCAGCCTCTCCTGGGGTGAAGAAATCAGCTGTAACTAAACCCTGGCTATGCCTGGTTATGGAGGTATGACAGACTGTTAACATGCACTGTGTTTTAGTCTTGGTTGTTATGAGCCTTTTGTTTATTTGTTTGAGGGTATGGGATGCAATTTGTGGAGTATCTCATTGTAGATATCTATGAA